TAAAACCAAACTACATAATAAATATTTTTTATGCACATATAATCATTAAATAAGATTATCTTAATATATGTTCTTCACATAAAATCTGATATATTATATATAAATATCAATACACAATAGGAAAAGATTTAAAACCTCCTAATGCTCAATTGCTACAAATTACCTAAGTATCGACACCTTTACATTGTGTCAAATCTACATAGTAGCTTATAACAGGTTATGTGTCGACACCTTCACCCATTGTGGGAGAAACAAGTTCGTGTCGGACTTTTGGACCATTATGTAATTTCTAAGAATGGTAAAACAATAATACAGGTCCCTCAACTTCTATTTGCATTTTTTTTCAAATATAATTGAATTCCTTAACAGATTGGAATACATAATCCCAATCAACTTCTTCTCCTTTTTTTTTTTCTTACTTCCATTTGGGATTTCAAATGCCAAACCGATTTTTTTTTTTTTTTTAAATCGATCACTTTAAATAAGGCATTAAATAATAAAGGAACATCATAACATAAATCCATAAATTCTAAAAAAACTCAACTAAATTCACCTTCATATCACATAATCATTCATGGAGATTACTTTGAACATAAAAAAGAGAAAATGATTAAATTTAATGCTTAAGTATTAATTTGTAACCTTACTAAACTTTTAGGGATAAATTTGCACTAAACAGAATTACTAAGGGACCAAATAGCAGTTTTCCCATTAATCATCCCTATTACAATAACTTTTCTCAATTTTCACTTTCTGCGTTTTATTATGTTGTTGGACAAATTCATAATCTACAAAAACTCCAAATTTAATTTTTAATTAAACACATACATAACTTAATTAGAAAACCAAAAATTGGGTTTCTTAAATTATCAATTATATCTTAGCTTTTCTATCTTTTAGTAATTATATCCAAGAATAATTTTTTTTTTTAATCCTTTAAGCATGGATTAAATAGTTACAACAACAAATTTTGAAACCAACTAAACTTAGTTTCAACCATAGGTGAAAATAAATTTTAAACCTTAATTACTTACTAACTAAATTCTAAGAATTTAATCACAATTTAAGACACATTAACTTGACAATCCCAAAACGAAATTCCAATAAGATTGTCAAAACCCACGGCAATTAAATAAGCATTTCAATATCCTAAACCCAAGTATAACTTGCTCTGATACTACATGTTAAAATTTTAAGAATCGACATACATAAATTAGGTACTTAAATCTCCATAATTAATATATTACTTAAAAATCTTCTAGGATTTTCAAGAATCATCATAATTTGAGATTTCATAACAAAACCTACAAAACAAATATAGTTAGTATTGGGATTTAAGTCTTCCTTTTCCTATTTAATTTCTGCATAGTGACAACCAATGAGTCATGCTACTCCCTAACTTTCCTCCTATTTATAGAAGTATGGTTTTTTGAATGGGAAAGGGGACTTACCCTTTGTAAATAATCTTTTGGACATTAAGTAGTTCACCTTTAATTTTAAATCCTACACCTATTCATATCATACTATATAAAACTGAAATAAAACTTAAACTCGCTTGGATCACACAATTTTATTGGGTTTTACCAGTTTTCCATTTGACTTAATTTTGAAAATTAAATACAATTAATGACTACTCAAGTAAAAATTTCCAACAAAATGAATTTAGGGTACTTAACTAAGGATATTAGATAAGGATATCAAGTTTAGTGTTTGTCACCAAGAAAGTAGAAGATATATTTTGTGAATCAATTCAATGGAAGAAAGAGTGTACTTCCCCAAAGGCTGTTCACAAATCTCCCTCCACTATCTCCATGATTAGGCACGTCTAAAAACCCATCCACATACACCAGCTATATATATAAATCTCCCATTGTCACGAATTAAAGATCTCCTCATTATGCTTCTGCTAACAGAAGTAATTTGGGTATCAATAATTTCCCAACAATTGTATCATACCTATAAAAACATTCAAAATTTCAATATATAGCATTCGAGCGAGTATGACACAAGTTCAAAATTTCTAACAGAAATAAGCTTAAAAGATTACTTTGCAGATCCTCGAGTAAAGATGCAAATAAAGATTTCAACTTTGCACTTTTTTCTATTTAAGGATGTTAACTTTGTTATTTTCTAAATAAGGATGTCAACTTTCAATTTTGTTCTATTTAAGGATGTCAACTTTCAACTTTCAACTTTTTCTATTTAAAGATGTCAACTTTTAACTTTTTTTATTTAAGAATTAATTGGTGGTGATGCTGACATTAGCTAACATTAGCTAACATATTTTTTTAGGTTAAATACCTGAATTGGTCCCTCAACTTTTATTTTTTAACCAATTCATTCTTGAACTTTAGAAAGTATCGAAAACATCTTTCAACTTCAATTTTCAATTAATAAAATTATTTCTTAATTCATGGAAGAATTAATTAACTTTTATTTAATTTTATTAAATGGTAGGTGGGACTACTTAAATGGGAAAATATATTAATTGTTTTAATTTTTAAATATAAATAAAGTAAAATTAAGAATTAAAATAGTTTTTAAATTATTTAAAATTAAAAAAATCCACATAATCATTTTTTACATGATGGATTTTCCACTTAATATTGAAAATGTAAAATAGTCAATCACTTAGTGAAAAAATTAGCTACATCAACATTTAACTGACGAAAAGACGGAATTGAAAATTGAAGTTGAAGGACGTTTTTGATACTTTCTGAAGTTTAAGAATGAATTGATTCAAAAATAAAAGTTGAGGGACCAATTTAGATATTTAACCTAAAAAAATATGTTAGCTGACGTTAGTATCACAACCAATTAATCATTAAATAGAAAAAATTAAAAGTTAACATTCTTATTTAAAATATAACAAAATTAATATCTTTAAATTAAAAAAGTATAAAATTAAAATCCTTATTTACACCTTTACTTGCGGATCCTCCTACAGGTTATGATGCCTTCTACAAATAGTCTTTCATCCTACCACATTTGTTCATGCTCCATATGGAAAGCAATCCTTAAATTTTACTCCAAACCATTTTACTCCAAACCATTTCCTGGGATTCGTTTCTTCTTTCGTTTTTCCTTTTTTTTTTTAATTTTCTCTTTTTCTTTAGGCAAAGAATATTATTCATTAAATTGGAGTACAATGAGTATTCTTTTTCTTTAAAAAAAATAATAAATATTTTTTTGTCATTAATTTATGTTGAAAAAATAAAAATTGATCTTTAATTTATCAATTATTTAATTAAATTTATCCACTTATTAAAATTAATATCAAATTTTATTTTTTTCAATATACATATGTAATTTGCACAATAAGAAGCAATTATCTCTCATCTTTTAATGTGATATCTTTAATTAAATAAACCTTTTAATCAATAACCAATCCCGGTAAAAACAAACACAAATGATACAGAGTAAAGATACTGTCACACAAGACCCAAGGAAGCATAAACACCATCAACTTAGCAAAATGCTTGCCTAGGATTTTTATACCAAAGGTCCTGGATTAAGTTAGGATTTAAATGGGTTTTAATCCAGTAAAAGTCCTAAACTTAATTAGTTCTAATTAGTTCAATACCTTAATTTACCGGATTGTTCATCTCCTCTCTGAAGGCCTTCTGATTTCGCCATAACCAGATAGACCACCTTGCAAAGAATCAAATTATCTTCCAAGCTTCCTTCGTTATTTGTCTAACCAGTGCTCCATCGTGTTGATGCAAATGATCCCAGCCTCTCCACACTGATGTACAGAGCATATAACCCATCAATCGTCTATAGCTGCAAAGCTTTTCCACGCATAAGCACAAGCAAACAATAGATGATCCGTGCTTTCTTTGTATTCCCCACAGAATATGCATTTGCTATCGTCCATTGGTCTAGGAACTCCTCTCTTCATCAGATTCAATCTTGTTAGGAGTCAATCTTGAAGCACTTTCCAAGCAAACACAGACATCTTCTTCACTGGAATCATCTTTAACAATTTAAAATGATTCAGACCTTAGTTTAATCCTTCTTTGTTTAACACTTTGTATGCTGATTTAGCCGAGTAAGATCCATTGTTTCCATACCCATCTGTTAGCCATGTTTTGCTTAAGAGTGATGGTTGAGAGTTTCTGTTCCATTTACTGCAAAATAGACACCTCCCAAACAAAAAGATTCTCCCCACTCTTCCACACTCCCATATTTGACACCAGTGATTTCCTATTCACAGCTAAGTTATATAATCTACCATACTCTTCTTTTAAAGCTTTGTTGTTGAATTTTTTTTCACGGTTTAAAAAAGAGACAAAATGGAGAGGAAAGAGGCAGAACATAAACTGAAAATGGAGAGGAGTATAACACTCCAACTAAGATTGTGTCATTAACAATCTCTGCTATATATAGCAGAAAACAAACCTAAAAACAGTTCAAAAAGTTTCTTATTTTGTCTAAGCAACTTTTCTACATAAAAAGCAACAATAAAAGTACATCTAAAACAAGTAAAAGACAAACAGCTTTGCTGCATGCCCGCTGTGATTTTGCAGCCCTTCATTTCATTTGCATTTTCATTTCACTTGCTATTCATTGCAGCTTCATTTCATCAACATTTGCAGCTTAACTTGCTGCACATTTTTTCTGTCATTTGACAGCTTCATTTCTACCACATTTGCAGCTAAATTGCTGCCATATTAGCTGTCAAATTGCAGCTTCATTTGTTGTCAACTTTCAGCCTCATTGCCGCCATTTCATGGCAGTTTCATTTCATCATTTTGCAGGTTTGAATGCCACATTTCTAATAATAATTCCAACATTTGTTTCCTATCCATACTTCTTCCCAAAACAAGGTTCTACCTCTATCCCCAATTACCTTTACTAATCCTTCATTCAACTACCCTTCTGATAAAATACCCGTTCTATCTACCCCTCTCAAATCCTTCCACCAAACTGAACTATTCATATTACACTCACACCCATCCCATTCACTCCTCCCTCCACTCCCATTTACTGCTATAATCACCTTCACAAAGCATCCTCTTAGGATAGAAACCTCCATCGCCATTTTCCTAATCTTTTACCCCAGGACCACCTTCATTCTTTTCCCTACACAGTCGCTTCCAGCTTACCCATGCAATCTTATTCCTATCCTCACTTCCCCCTCCCCCCAATATATCTCCTTCGAATAAGAGAAAGGGAATTTAGTACCCTTTTTGGGGCTTACTATGTGGAGAAATAGAAAACCGGAATTCGTTTCAAGCCAAAGTCCACATAAAGGCCCTGGTTTTAGATCCATGAGATCGATTTTGGGAGAAAGAGAAAGACCATCTCACATTATAGAATTAAAGAAAAGTTTAGATTCAGGTATCCAGTAACAATCATTAATGTGGATACATTTTTAACATGTTCCCAAAGACAAAGACTGCTTGAAAAGATATTTATTCTGAAAGAGGTCAATCATTCACATTTTTCATTTGATTTTCCATAGCTTTTATCTTGATCTAGACAATCTTTCATAGATGTAGACATCTTTTAATTTCCCCTGAATCATATGTTGAACCATTTAAAACATACATTCATTTGTTTGCTTTTCTCATATATATGATTTTCATTTCTTTAGGTACCTTGCTCTCATCTCTTCATGGGGAAATCAGCCTTTCTGATCTACCATGTTCCGAAGAAGCGCTACTCGTCTTCTTTCAAAGCATTCTTCTTTTTCTTACCCATATGTTTAGGCTTCACTACCTTTTTCCTGGTCTTGATCTACATATACACAACCTCTGGAGTTCTCACCAATCCCCATTCCAGTCCTTACCTTGAACCTACAAAGAATTCTACCTTAATCGAGCAAACAATCCCTTTTTCGATTGATAACACAGCTGAAGACCTGTTCTTTGATCTCCCTAGAACTCCCAATTATGCAAAGCAAAGTCAATGGTCCATTTCAGATCTCTTTCGCTCAATCGGTACATCAAATTTCTGAATTTCCTAAGGAATATTGCACAAAATGATTTCAGAATCTGTAAATTGATAAATTGTTTCTTCTTTCTAATTCAGGAGATAGTATGAACAACACAGACATTTACCATGATACCGATATTTTCCTTGAAGACTACAAAGAAATGAACAAGAGCTTCAAGATATTTGTGTATCCTCACACCAAAGATGACCCTTTTGCTAACGTTCTGTTACCTGTTGATTTTGATCCAAAGGGTCATTATGCCAGTGAACTTTACTTCAAGAAAGCTCTTTTCAACAGCCACTTTATCACAAAAAATCCAAATGAGGCAGATCTTTTCTACATGCCTTTCTCCATTGCAGAGATGAGGCACGATCCCAGAATTGGCCCAGAAGGATTGCAGGATTTCATCCGGACTTACATCTTCAACATCAGTCATAAATTTCCTTATTGGAACCGAACAAATGGAGCTGATCACTTCTATGTTGCCTGCCATTCCATTGGAAGAGTAGCCATGGACAAAGCTGTTGAGGTCAAATTCAATGCCATTCAGGTTGTTTGTTCTTCAACGTACTTTGTAGCAGGGTATTTCCCCCATAAGGACATTTCCATGCCCCAAATTTGGCCAAAAGAGAGGGACCCTCCAAGCATTTTTCTGTCAAAAAGGTACATTATGTTGTCGCTAGTCTCTAAACAAATGGATGAAAATACAAGCCATACTTCAATCACTTGGTAAAATGGAATTACAGGAGGAAGCAGCTGGCATTCTTCGCTGGATCAGTGAACTCTCTAGTACGTGTAGCTCTTCTGAAGCACTGGAGGAATGACTCAGAGATATTTGCCCATTTTGGAAGGTTCAAAACAGATGATGGAGAGCAGCTGTTGAGGAGCAAGTTCTGCCTCCATGTTAAGGGGTTTGAGGTGAACGCTGCTCGGATCACAGATGCACTACATTATGGCTGTGTTCCAGTTATCCTTGCCAACCACTATGATCTGCCCTTTGCCGATATCCTGAACTGGAAGAGTTTTTCTGTTATAGTTCACTATATGGATATTCCTGTACTGAAGAAAATCCTACAAGGAATAAGCTTGGATGAGTATTCATGGCTGCAGAGTAATGCAGTGAAGGTTAGGAAACATTTTCATTGGAATGTTCCTCCAGTTGATTATGATGCCTTCTACATGGCTATGTATGATCTCTGGCTACGCCGAAGCTCTATCAGGGTTCGGTTAACTGCTTCCCTGGAATACATGTAAGCTCTAGAAGTAGGACTCCAGGTCCCTCGTGGATTCCAGAAGGCACAGGCAGTGTTGCATTCTTTTCCCTGAATGATTTTTTCCCATATTTTTGTCTCCCAATATCTGTTGCATTTATTGATGTAAACGTGAATCTTTTAAGCACTGAAAACAGGCAAAATCTTCCATTAAATGTGAAACAATCAGGCTAATGTCTCAGACTATCTTTTAGTTTACTAATTTCTTACAATCAGAAATGTATTATTTTGAAAACTTTGTACCAATCTTGACCCTCATTACGTAGTTATATTGCGCTGCAGATCTGTGGTTTTAATTGATTTTGCTATAATCTTGATTATTTCAGATAGAAAATTGATTACATTACAGTTATAAACTCAAACATATCAATTAATCCTTAAAATAAAAAATAAAAAATAAAAACTGAATTTTTAAAACTCTAATCCAAAAAGAGATCAATGTTTTGACAGGAAAAAATGATGGATGTTATGTTTTCCATACACTTTCAAGGTTTTGGGTATGCATGTTCTCACAATTGAGAACTCAGAATTCAACTAAAATATCTTTGTTCTTTGAAGCAAGAGGTCTGGATTCAAGTTTCCAAAAACAATTTATGGGAGTATTGAGAGGTTAAAATATACCTTTAACCTCTTATTTTGATAAGTTTAAAGATTTTAGCATTATCTTATATTATAAAGTTTTTAGTTCTTAAATTTTAAAGTTTAAAGATTTTAATCCTTATACTAACGGAATCCATTAACTCTCATTAACATGAGAATAAAATATTTACAAGATCAATCCTTAAATATTCAAAATATAACAATTGAGTCCCAAAGTTTAAAATTAAAAAAAAAACTAATAAATTAAAAATAATTAGTTGACATCTTCGTCACATACATCAAAACAATATTAGATATCTACAATTAAATTAAGTGATTAACTCAATCTAAGGAAAGAAATCTAACTGAGATTAAAGAAAATTTCTTAATTATATTCTTTTAGTCTTATGGACTTTTTGTCTTAATTCAGTCAAGAAATTTTCTTTAATGTTAGTTAGAATTTCTTCTTCAAATTGAGCTAATTGCTTGATTTATTATAGATATATAATATTGTTCTCGTGTATGTTGTAAAGACATCCACTAATTATTTTTAATTTAATAATTTTTTTAATTTTTAAACTTTAGAAACTAAATTGTTATATTTTTAATCTTTAAGGACTGACCTTGTAAATATTTTGTTTTCATCTCAACGGAGAGTTAACTATTCCATTAGCTTAAGAGCTAAAATCTTCAAATCTTTAATTTTAGGGGTTAAAAACTTCATAATATAAGATAAGAGGTTAAAACTTTCAAAGTTATTAATGTGAGGGGCTAAATTTATATTTTAGCCGTGCTGGGGGATATCAAGATTTTTCTGAATACCAGAATGTCTTGAGATCTTGGTTTCAAAGTTAAGCACCAGGATTAGATGGAAATGGAGACTGTACCTCTTTCCATGCAACCGAACACAATAACAATTTAATTGGGTTTTTCAAAACATAGTTGGCTTTTAGCTATTGTAATAATCAACTTTCTGTTTTCCATTCTATCTTCCTCTTACTTTTTGTGTATGGTTCCAGCAAAAAGGATTTTCAACCTAAAATCCGTCAATTAACAGCTGCGGCCTTACCACTGAGCCATTGTAAGAAAAGGGAAAAATAATTGATTTCTCTCTCAAAACTGTCCAAAAAATAATTCTCATGTTTTTGCACCATATAAAATCCCAATCACAGAACAGTGAAGTGAAAAGCATGTTCCCTTCTATTTCTATTTTGATATTCCACGTAATTATAAATAATTACATCATGAAAACTTCACCACGCATGTCAATTGCTTCCTTTGATATTATATTAATGAAAAAGAAGTGCAAATTTTTGGATCCATGAAAATAGCTTCAAAATATCCTTTAAAAAAAAAAAAAAAAACTAGTATGGATATAATATGACATTGATATTATAAAAAGGAAAACAGAATATATAAATCAATCTAAATGGTCTGATCAAAAGGGAAAGGAAAATGAAGGAGAACATGTAACATGTTTCTAAAAGACAACCCTTCATAAAAAGTACTTGAAAACAATCTCTGAAAGCAGCCATATTGCCCACATTTTTCCATAATAAAGATCAATTATCTTCTGACCTTGATGATTTTTAGAGCCTTCTAGCTTTCTGTCTATTTACCTTAAATCTCTAATTAGCTAAACTATATATGTACTACTCGTACCAAAAACTCATTGCCTTCCCTCTTGTTTTTCGAAGAAAAATTCATTTCTTCATGGGGAAGAAATCATTACCTCTGCTCTACCAAATCCCTCAACACCGTTTCCCTGCAACTTTCAAGGGTTTCTTCTACATTTTACCTATAAGTTTGGCACTTACTACATTGCTTCTCATCTTCATTTACATTTCCACAATCTCTGATGTCTCCAACAATCAAGACCGAACAACTCTCCATTTAGAGTCCTTACATGGCTCATCATCTGCTTCTATAACTTCCCTAATCGAACAAACACTCCCAGTTCCATTCGATAATGATGTTGATGATCTATATGCTGATCCATCCAGAACTGCTCGTTTGACAAAGGAGGGCAAGTGGTCTTTAGGAGAACTCTTCGGCCTAAACAATGGTATATTGTGGATTATTTGTGCTGCTAGAATCTTTCAAATTATTATCTGTATTTGTTTGATCCTTGTTTGTATTCTTTGTTAAGTTATGGAATGCAGCAATTTTAGTTCTACTTATAAATTATGTACCCGTTTCCAATTAGTACTGTACTTCTTTGCTCAACCTATTCACAACTATTTTCAGTGTGGAATTTCCTCCTCATTTAGAACTAAACAACTGATATTAATTTAGGCAACTTTATGGACAACAAAGAGGCGTACCATGATGGTGATCTCTTCTTTGAGGACTACAAGGCAATGAATAGGAGCTTCAAGATCTATGTTTATCCTCACAGCAAAGATCAACCCTTTGCAAATGTGCTCTTGCCTCCTGAATCTAATGTCAAGGGCAACTACGCCAGTGAACTATACTTCAAGAAGGCCTTGATGAAGAGCCACTTCGTCACCAAGGATCCTGGTGAAGCAGATCTCTTCTACATGCCATTCTCTGTATCACCAATGCGAACTGATCCCCGAATTGACGTTGAGGGGATCCCGGATTATGTCAAGAGTTACATCTACAACATCAGTCACAAGTATCCATACTGGAATCGGACTGGTGGTGCTGATCACTTCTATGTTGCTTGTCATTCCATTGGGAAAACTGCCATGGATAAGTCGTTTGTGGCTAAACTCAATGTCATTCAACTTGTTTGTTCTTCAACATATTTCTCCGCATCTTATTTCCCTCATAAAGATGCATCTATGCCCCAAGTTTGGCCAAGAGAGGGCGACCCTCCAAACCTTCTTACATCCAAAAGGTAAGTTTTTCATGTTCACATCATGGTGTTGAAATGTTCTAAATTTAAAATTTAAATTTTAAATTAAAATATGTTTCACAGGATAAATTGCACATTAAAGTTGTAATCTAAATATTAAAATTTTTAAAATAACTGTAATGAAATAACATCAAAAATAATTTTTTAAGAGTATTTTAGTAATTTCAATATCTAAAATGTATTTTAATATATAATTTGACTTATAAAATATGAATCTCAATTTCAATTTTATAAGCACTATTATAGTTTTTATTTAATGTATAATAATATAATCACTTAAAAACTACTAGGAAGGAGTGGTTTGACTTTCAGAAATGAAGAAGAAGAAGAAGAAAGGACTAGTTTGAACAATATACCAAACATGCCCTGAAAACTAATATTCTTTTTTTTGTTTTTCCTCAACATAGGGGACTCACCCATGTTTTAACCATTGGTCATCCTAATGGACTGTAATTTTCCTGAAAGTACGGAAACAGCTTAATGGTATTTAAATAAAAAAAATATTTTACAACAAAAAATATATATCGAGAAATTCTTTGTGATTTAATAGTCGTTTTCCTTTTAGAAAAAGTTTTTCATGCAAAGTTTAGTGGGCGTAAGATTTGAATTTCCCTTTAAATGTTTAAAAAAAATTATATATTAAAAATACAATACAATTTAAAGTGTAAATTTATTAAATATTATTGATAAAATTATTTTTATATTATTTTATTATTAATAATTTAAAATTTTTAATATTTAAAATATACTTTTTGATATATAATCTGACTTATAAATAATGAATCTCTTATTTAAATATTTTCATGGGAGCCGGACAGCATGAAAAAAGCGTTTTTGATTTTTCTATGCTTTGTATTTTCAATTAACCAAAATGACGTCATAATATAAGATCTATGTTTACAATATGCTCACAAGAGATTGCTTAATCATAGGAAGAAGCTCGCATTCTTCGCCGGAGCGGTCAACTCTCCGGTACGGATAGCTCTTCTAAAGGTGTGGGCGAACGACACGGAGATATTCGCGCACTTCGGCCGGCTCCACACGCCTTACTCCGTACAGCTCCTAGGCAGCAAATTCTGCATCCACGTTAAGGGCTTCGAGGTCAACACGGCCCGAATCGCTGATGCGCTCTACTACGGCTGCGTTCCGGTGATCCTCGCCAATCACTACGACCTTCCGTTCACCGACATCCTGAATTGGAAGAGCTTGGCCGTTGTGGTTCACCACATCGACATCCCAGTGCTGAAGAAAATCCTTCAAGGGATTGGACTGGAGGAGTACTTGATGTTGCAGAGCAACGCGTTGAGAGTTAGGAGGCATTTCCAGTGGAATGTTCCGCCGGTGGATTTTGACGCCTTCCACATGTCCTTATACGAGTTGTGGCGACGACGCAGCGCTGTCAGGGTTAGGTTGAGTGCATCAATGGAGTTTATGTAAATTAAATTTAAGGGAGGTTGGAAATTGCCGCGACCTGCTGGCTGTAATTGGAGGTGTAAGAGCCTGTTTGGTGTGGCTGGTCTTTTTAATAGAAGTTCTGTTAAATGGAATCTGTTGTGGAAGGGCTGTTTTTGAGAAGTTAAAAGTGTTTGGTAAAATTTTTTATAAAAGTACTTACAGAGTAAAAAGTTGTTTGGTAAATTTTTTTATAAAAGATCTTTTAATGTTAAAATGATTGAAATAGACATTGTTTATTTTTTTATCATTCTAATTTCTCTTTTTATATATTTTTATATAATTTTAAATTTATAATTAATTTAAAATTGATGATTAAAAATTAATTATTCAAA